CTCTAAGAGGAAAAAACAAAGAAAAGGGGGAAAAAGAACATAATTTAAAAGAATAAAATGGCAATAAATATGTACCTATCAATAATCACTTTATATTTAATCAAAGAACTTATATGCTTATATGCATAACCTATGGACACAAACATTGGTATGAGGAAGGCCTGGGGGTGGGGTGGATGTGGAGTGGAGGGCATCAATGGAGGAAAAGGGGGGACATCTGTAATACTTTCAACAATAAAGATAAAATTTTAAAATAAAATAAAAACAAAGGATATCCTCGGGTGAGGATTAAAAAAATTTTTTTAAATAACTTTAAATGTAAATGTATTAAATGCTCCAATCAAAAGACATAGGGTAGCTGATTGGATTAAAAAAAAAAAAAAAAAGACCCAAATAAATGCTGTCTACAAGAGATCCATCTCAGAACAAAAGGCACACACAGACTGAAAGTAAAAGGACAGAAAAAGATATTTCATGCAAATGGAAACAAAAGAAAAGCTGGTGTAGTAATATTTATATCAGACAAAATAGACTTTAAAGCAAAGGCTATAAAATGGAACAAGAAAGGACATTACATAGTGATCAAACAATCAGTCCAACTAGAGGATATAATCCTAGTAAATATTTATGCACTCAATGTAGGAACACATAAATATATAAACCAAATCTTGATGGACATAAAGGAACTGATTAACAGTAATAAAGTCATAAAAGGATTTTAACAGCCTTTTACATCAAATGATAGATCTTTTGGACTGGAAATCAACAAGGAAACAGCAACCTTAAATGTCACACAAGATCAGATAGATTTTACTTATATCTATAGGACATTTCACCACAAAACATCAGAATACACATTCTTTTCAAGTGCACATTGACCATTTTCCAGGATAGGCCAAAAAACAAATCTCAATAAATTTAAAAAGACTGAAATCATATCAAGCATCTACTCTGACCACAATAGTAGGAAACTAGAAATAAATATTTTTTAAAAACCCTAAAAAACATGCAAACATATGTAGGTTAAATAACATGTCTCTAAATAATGAATGGATTAAGAATAATATCAAGAAGAAAATCAAAAGATACCTTTAGATAAATAAAAATGAAAATACAACAACCCCAAAATGTATGGGACAAAGTGAAATCAGTCCTAAAATAAAAATTCATATCTATACAGGCCTACCCCAAGAAACAAGAAAGATCTCAAATAAATAATATAACCTTACACCTAAAGGAACTAGACAAAAACAACAAAGCCCAAAGTGAGCAGAAGGAAGGAAATAATAAAGATTAGAGTAGCCTGGCCAAGCGTGGCTCAGCGGTTGAGCATCTACCTAGGATCCAGGTGATTGGGGTTTGATTCTTGGTCAGGGCAGATGCCCAGGTTGTGGGCCCCATCCCCAGTTGGGGGCATGTAGGAGGCAGCCAATCAATAACTCTCTCATCATTGATGTTTCTATCTCTCTCTCTCTCCCTCTGCTTTCCTCTTTCTGAAATCAATAAAGATACATTAAAAAAAAAAAAAAAAGATTAGAGTAAAATTAACTGAAATAGAGTCTAAAAAACAATACAAAAAATCCATGAACCCGAGATGGTTCGTTGAAAAGACAAACAAGATTGATAGACCTTTACTCTGACTCATCAAGGAGAAAAAAAAAAAGAGAGGAGCAAAATAAATAAATCAGAAATGTAAGAGGAGAAATAACAAATGACACCACAGAAATTCAAACTTTTAAACAAGGTATTATGAACAACTATATGCCAACAAATTGGATAACCCTGACTAAAAGGATAAATTCTTAGAAACATATAATCTTCCAAAACTGAATAGAAAAGAAACAGAAAATCTGAACAGGCTGATTATAACCAACAAAATTGTAACAGTAATAATAATAATAATAATAATAATAATAATAAAACTTCAAAGAAAAGTCTTGGACTAGTACACTTCACAGGTAAATTTTACCAAACATTCAGAGAACTAACACATATCTCTTCTCAAACTGTTCCAAAAAATACAAGAGAGAAGACTCCCAAGGTCATTTTACAAAGACAGAATTATCCTACTTCCAAAATCATTATAGACACTACAAAGAAAGAAAATTATAGGCCACTATCCTTGATGAACATAGATATAAAAATCCTTAACAAAATATTAGCAATATTAAAAAGTTCAGAAACCATGATTAAATGGGATGTTTTCCTGAGGTCCAATATTTATGAATCAATTAATGTGATACAAAACATTAAAAAAAGAATAAAAATCATATGATCATATCAATAGCTGTAGAAAATCAATTTGACAAAACCTAGCACCTATTTATGATAAAAACTATCAAGAAATTGGGAATAGAGGGATCATACCTCAACACAATAAAGGCCATATACAACAAACCCACAGCTAACATCATACTCAATAGGGAAAAACTAAAAGTGTTTCCCTTAAGATTAGAAACTAGACAGGGATGTTCACTTTCATCAGTACTATTCAACGTAGTTCTGGAAGTCCTAGTCACAGCAATCAGAAAAGAAGAAAGAAAAGAGGCATCCAAATTTGAAAAGATGTAAAATTGTCATTATTTACAAATGACATGATACTGTACAACAAAAATGAACTATCAGAAAGGGAAACTAAGAAAACAATTCCATCAAAAAATAATGAAATACTTAGAAATAAATTTAACAAAAGAGGTTAAAGATCTGTACTCAGAAAATTTTAAGATTTGAAGAAAGAAATCAGAGATACAAATAAATAGAAGCATATATTGTTTTCACACTTAGAAATAATTAACATCATTAAAATGTCTATTACTACCTAGAGCAATCTTTAGTTTCAACACAATTCCTATCAAAATTCCAATGATGCATTTTACAGAACTAGAACAAATAACCCAAAAATTTATATGGAACATCAAAAGACCCCCGATAGTCACAGCAAACTTGAGAAGAAGAGCAAAATTGAAGGTATCATGCTACCTGATATCAAACTATACTACAGGCTAATAATCAAAACAGGCTGGTACTGGTATAAAAACAGACATATAGTTTAATGGAACAGAACAGAGAGCCGAGAAATAAACTCACAACTATCTGTTTAATTAATATTTGACAAAGGAGGCAAACACAAACAATTGGGTAAAGACAGCCTATTTGATAAATGGCTTTGATTAAATTGGACAGATCCATGCAAAAACTGAAACTAGACCACCTTCTTACATCATATACAAGAAAAATCTCAAAATGGGTTAAAGACAAATGTCAGACTCAAAACCATAAAACACCTAGGAGAAAACAGACAGTAAAATCTCTGACATTTCTCTTAGTAATAGTTTTTCTGATACATCTCCTTGGGCAAGAAAAACAAAAGTAAATAGAAACAAATGGGACTACAACAAACTAAAAAGATTTTTCACAGTAAAAAAAACCATCAACAAAACAAACCGACAACCTACGGAATGGGATAACATATTTGCCGATACATCTGATAAGCAGTTAATATCCAAAATTTATAAAGAACTCATACAACTCAACACCAAAATAACAAACAATCTGATTGAAAATGGGAAGAGAATCTGAATAGACACTTCTCCAAAGGGGACATACATATGGCCAAAAGACATATGAAAAGATGCTCAACATCACTAATCATCAGAGAAACACAGATTAAAATCACAATGTGATATCTCCTCACACCTGTCAGAATGGCTATCATTAACAAAACAACCAGGGCTGGCAATGATGTGACAAAAGGGAAGCCTCATGCACTGTTGGTGAGAATACAGATTGGTACAGCTACTGAGGAACGCAGTATAGAGTTACCTCAAAAAATTAAAAATAGAACTGCCTTATGACCCAGCAATTCCACTTCTGGGAATTTATCTGAAGAAACCAAACCACTAATTTGAAGAATATATGCACCCCTATGTTGATAGCAGCATTATTTACAATAGCCAAGATATAAAAGCAACTCAAGTGTGCGTCAATAAAGATTGGCTAAGGAAATAGTAGTACATATATACAATGGAATATTACTGGACTATTAATAAAAGAGTTAAATCTTACCATTTGCAAAAGAATGGATGGACCTAGAGGGTATTATGCTAACTGAAATAAGTCAGTCAGAAAAATACAAAGATCATATTATTTCACTTATATATATAATCTAAAGAAAAAATAAATGAACAACGAAAACAGAAACAGACTCATAGATACAAAGAACAAACTAATGATTGCCAGAGAGGAAGTGAGGTGGAGTATTGGGTGAAAAGGTTAAAGGGATTAAGAAGTACAAATTGGTAATCACAAAATAATCACAGCATAGGATATACAGTCAGTAATAACTATGTATATATTGTGCCTGGTGGGTACTGAATGTATTGGGAGAACACTTTTTAAAGTATATAATTGTCTAATCACTATGCTGTACACCTGAAACTAAAGTAAAAGAAATCCTTTTTTAAAAAAGATGGTTACCATGCAGGGTCTATATATAGATTCCATAAGTTAGTGTTTTATTTATATTAATAAAACCCAAATAACTCCAGAATAAGCTTTCACTTATTGTTAGTGAAGTGTTGAGAGTCTAGGTTCCAATATAGGCAGTGGTTATTGTACACTCTACTTGTGAAGAATTGTGCTTGAAGGTCAGCTGAAGGAAACGTGTTTTATAAAAAAAATATTTTAATTGTTTACACTTTATAACAAAGATCTTACCATGTCACCTCAAAAAAGGTGTCTTCTTAACATACATCACTGTTGAAAATTATTTTGACTTACATTGATACATATCTGAAATGAGTATTGAAATGAATTGTTATATTTTATTATGCACAATTAATGTGTACAACTAATTATTATAAATTAATAAGTTAAGACACTTCTTTGTTAAATGAATTTGTACTTGGAATTTTTACTATAAAAATGTCAACTTCAATTTCTTTGAATGCTTTTTTTAAGAAAACTCATTATATATTTTCATAAGCATCCATTAGACATACATGCCATTCCACATTGTCATCTTCTTTCCCAAGAGTTAGAAACTTGATGAGTGGATTTCCAGCAATGCCAGCATCATTCTTGGGAGATGGGTATCCATACTGTACCACAAGAGCACTGCTTTGCATTGGAGGGTGAGATCCTTCAATAATCTGGTTGATGACCTGGTGGTCAAGGGTCATGCAGAGTTTTACTTGTTGCCTCTGAACTTTTTGTAGCTGTGTCCTCAGAGGACTTCCCAGGTGTGTGGGGACCTACAAAATAGAAACCAAATAATTGCAATGTGTAACATCATCTGGCATTTCAAAGCTTCATTTTCAACAATTGAATTATGACAGTAAACACACTATAGCATCTAGTTTCTCTCAAATTTATGGTCTAACATTTACTAAAATATTTAAAATGCTAACCATGTTTTTAAGAATAGCCCTCAAAATTATATTCAACTGAAACAAAATTTGGAATAAATATATAAGTAGCAATATTTTTTGAAGGTCTAAAGAAAGAAAGGAAAATACAGCTGATTTATTATTAGTAGTGATATTTATATTTTTTAGATTCCATTATATTACAAATATAAATATTCTATGGGATATAATTATGACATTTATTTAAATATTTTTTTTAAAAGTACACAGGAGGGAGCAGAAACTAGAAAAATATATACTAAATATTAAGTGTGATACTTTATGGGTGGTGAAAATCTAGGTGATTGTTTTCACTTTTCTACATTTTCCAAAGTTTCTATAATGGATACATCTAATTTTGTTTTTTATAATATTATTTTTAAACCCTTCCATATTCTCACTTTGTAAAATCAAAACTTTGGTAGAATCATTATGAGTGACAGAAAAAAGTGTTCGAAAAAAACTAAGCAACTAAGCAATGGTCTAATATTTTGAAACTCCTTTTTCAAAACATAGACTTAAAATTCTGGGCATCTTCAGTCTAGCTATCATAGTTAGCAATATATCATTATTTGTATAAGGACAATTTTAAGCATTTTAAGCTTTCCTTTTAAAAGCCTCTGAAAGTAGCATCACCTGCCCATCCCCTTTATAGTAACTAAGCAGTGATGTGGTTACATTTTCCACAAGGGGACTATACACAAACCTATTTAATATTTCCCTCATGTTAAACAATAGTAAATATTGGGGTACAGTGATTATTTTTGTTTATTTCAGTTACACAAATTATCCCTTAAAGCCCTTAATATGCAATAGCCCAGATAAACAGCATTTACGAAGTATTTTTGCATTTAAATTAGCTGGTTTGGGGTACCATATTGTAGCATTTACTTTAGTTTAATTTTGTTATGCTGACATTTTTACCATTATTTTAATTATACTACCATATAATAATTTTTCAGTCATATAAAAAAAGATTAAGATTGGTAATAAAGATTACACATATACTAATTATATTACTATGAACTTTAAAGTTGTAAAATAACATTGCATTAAAATTCCATGGGTAATTTTTTTAAGGTAGCTATTTAGATTACCCTACAGTTTTAAATTTATTCTTCTTAATCTGTATACATTTAGGAAATATACATTGTTATAAAATTTTCATATTCACAAATTTGAATCTTTTAAACAATGTAACTGAATGCTAAAGTACATTGTTTATCTACAAATGGAAAATATCTCTTCTTTAAAAGTATTTTGAATCAGAATTTATAACAATTTATTTTTCACTTTCCATCCACTGACTCCAAAAGCCTTCATTACATCAGGAGTACAAGAGAAGTCATAGAGGTGATCCCAGGGCATTAGAACTTTTCCATCTAAGGCTCTATTAATATCAACCACAGCAAAAGCAAAAATAATGACAATAATATGCAATAGGTATCAGGCAGCATGTTAAGCAATTTACCCACATTATTTCATTGAATCTTTGTTACAACCTTAGGAGATAGGTATCATTAATATCTCCATTGAAGCATATAGATGAAGTCACTGAGACAGAGATTAAGTAGCATGCATGCCATCACTCCTCAAATAAGGGATTAAACCAGAATACATAGCCTGCCTTCTTAAACATTATACTTATTGGCTCAGTAATGTACACAACAAATTTAAAATGCCACAAAGAAAAGTGGTTAAAAAAAACCCAACTAATTAAAATAGAAAATGGTTATAAATCAGGTGTTAGAAGGAGATGGTCCTGCATAGGAGCAAAAGGAAGGAAATCTCAAATGCAAAGGGTCAAAGTGAAAGAATAAAAGAAGTTGGAAGTCACAAAGTTAGTCATTAAAAGGAACTCACAGAAATACCTTTCTTTCTCACAGCAAGACTATCATCTTTTCTTTAGACCACTCTATACAGAGACAAAATAAAATATAAAATGGAACCAACTCTAAGTCTGCTTAAATTATTGGTTATTTACAGGGAATTCCAAATGTTTAGCAGGCAAAAGTGAAGACTCTCTTGGACCCAATTCATGTAATACCTGTAAACTAAGCAGAAGAGTCTAAAATCTCAGTGGAGCAGAGAAAGAATCAATGGAATGTGATTAAACTACTGCCCAGCCCGGCCGGGCGTGGCTCAGTGGTTGAGCATTGACCTATGATCCAGGCGATCAGAGTTCGATTCCTGGTCAGGGCACATGCCCGGGTTGTGGGCTTGATCAATGACTCTCTCATCATTGATGTTTCTGTCTCTCTCTCCCTCTCCCTCTCCCTCTCCTCTCTCTGAAATCAATAAAGATATATTTACAAAAAGACAAAACAAAACTACTGCCCAGAAAAATCTCTGTCTTTTCCAATCATGGACTGATATCAGAAAATGATACAACTAAGTGTAATGCATCAGTTAAATCATATAAGCCAATTTTAAAACACTTTTAAATTGCCTGGGATTTAAAACTATGCATTGGAGTTGTTTTACTAAAGATGCCAGCATTTGTTTGAATGAAATAAATGAAATTATAGGTTGCCATTGTTCATTTATTCACTTATGTAAAAAATAAGATTTTCATCCTGGCCCAGTAGCTCAGTTGGTTTGAGCACTGTCCTGATACACCGAGGTTGAGGGTTCAATCCCCAGTCAGGGCACATACAAAATCAACTGATGGATGCATAAATAAGTGGAACAACAAATAAATGCCTCTCTCTCTCTCTCTCTCTCTTTCTTTCTCAAAAATCAATAATTTTTAAAAAAATTTTAAAAGTCAGTGCCTTCAAAGATCTTGCAGCCTAGTCACAGTCTAGACAGGGAAGAAAAATATGTGATCTCCAATAGCTAGCACTGTGTTTACCTTGCTGGATGCTGTACTGTCATATTTCCTACACAAAACCCAGATAATGGCACACAGTAGGCATTTAAAAATATGTATTGCATGTATTCAATGAATGAATGAATGGATCAACAAAGTACAGTGTATGATTAACTTTAGATGTTAGAGTTCTTGGTGGAAAGCCCCCACAGCTGAGATATCCCTCTGGAAGTTTAGCTGCTACATGTGGGAACCCTGTCAGCCCTCTCCCACCTCAGCACTTTCTACCAGTCTCTATGTGGTCTCCTCTTTATGTTATGAGAGTGCTCTCCAGTTAATCTTCAGTTGCAGTTGATTTTTCAGGATGTTTTTTCTATATTTTAATTGTAAGTCCAATTTGGTCCTGGGAGAATGTCAGTATAACTTCCAATCTACTGCCATCTCCAAATCTCCCAGGAAGTTTTGCTATTAAAACAATAAATAAATCATACCTCCAGAAGTCTGAATTATGTTTCAACATTATCGCTCTGCTACTGGAAACTAAATATAATAATTAGCAGTTTAATTCCAAGGTTTTCTCTATGTGCAGAAATATGTATTATTTCAATTAAAATATATATTTTTTTAACTTATAGTCTTCCTATTTGCTGAAAAATTGTAAATAAACAGGAGTTGTGAATGTAATGAGGTATTTACACCAGAAAATGTAGGCTGAAGAATAATATTATAATTGAGTACAAAATTTACTCATGAGCATCCTGGAAACCAAGAAAAAAGGACAATAATATACATATACATATTAGGTAGGACTTGTGAAACTGCAGATATTTGACCATTTTTGATCTACAAATTATCAGTTCCATCTGATTCAATCATGGGCCAGGCAGATCAGCTATGAAGGATATAATCTAGGCCATCCACTATAATATCCACTATATTTTTTATAAAAGGCCCAAAGAATACTATGAATCAGCTCAACTAAAAAACCCAAATATATTTTTTGGTACTGATCTGACTAATCCTTTGATAGTACAGAGACAGAGCAATGTTTTCAAAGCCAATTTATCCTGCAGACTCCATATTTGCATACACAAACCCAAAGGTACACCTGGTTAGATCATTACCCCACTATCAATTGTTTCAAACTAGGCTTTAGAGAGAATTACACTTGTGTGTGTTTTTAAATTTTATTATTTGAAGTTATGAAAATATAAAATTTAGCTTAAAAAGGCAAATTTTTCAAAGAAATTTGTTTCAAATGTAATCAAATTCCCATATTCTAATAGAGAGACATATGTCTTTAAAAAATTAAAAATATATGTATTCTGGTTATCAGAGGCGAAGTGGGGTGGGGGAAGTTGAAGATGGTAAAGGAAGTCAAATATATGGTTATAGAAGGGGATTAAATTTTAGTATATAAGCACAGAATGCAATATACAGATGATGTATTATAATATTGCACACTTAAAATGTATATAATCTTATTAACCAATTTCACCCTGATATATTTAATAAAAAAGAAATATATGTATTGGCAAGCTATAAAAATGCTTAGACCCACTCATAAGAGAAGCCAGACAATGTGTAATATGAAGTATTTTTTAAAAATTAATAAAAGATTAATGGAACAGAACAGAAAGCCCAAAAATAAACTCATGCCTTTATAGTCAATTAATATTTGACAAATAAAGCAAGAGGATACAATGGAGTAAAGACAGTCTCCTCAACAAAAGGTGCTGGAAAAACTGGACAAGTACTTGCAAAAAAATGAAACTAGACCTCCAACTTACACTATGCACAATAAACTCAACATGGATAACAGACTTAAATGTAAGTCACAAAACCATAAAAATACTAGGAGAAAACATAGTAAAATCTCAAACATCTCTCATAGCAATGTTTCTGTTGATATATCTCCTAGGGCAAGAGACACAAAGAAAAAAATAAACAAATGAGATTATATCAAACTAAATAAACTTCTGCACAGCA